GGCTCAGGCAATCCACTCACCTCAGCCTCCCAAAGGCGTGGGATTACAGGCTGAGCCACCGAGCCCGGCATTTTTTTACTTTTTTGATTTATTGTAGAGAGAAGGTTAAATCAAGTTGCCCAGACTGGTCTCAAACCCTTGGGCTCAGGCAGTCCTTTCACCTCCTCCTCCCAAAGTGCTGTGATTATAGGCATGAGTCACTGTGCCCGGCTATCTTGGTCCTTTCAATGCCTCTCACAGGGAAGTGGACAGATGGGTGGGCAGCCTCTATGCTGGTTATCATTAAGTTCCATTCTTTCTTCACCAGCTCTGCACTGTATTAGGCTGCAGCAAACATGGAGGAAGTAGCACAGGCTTATTTACATGGTGTGGATTGTTTTCTGATGCTGTAGACAGCAAAGATCTCTGTACCCTGTCCTTGGAGGGGTGACTGCAGAGGTTTGGGAATAGGCAATTTCTAAGGGACTTCAAGCATGGATCCCTTCTCATTCTCCTGCTTGAGGATATTTCCTGGAGAAAAGTTGAGCTGAACTCTACTGGTGAGTTGGGATTTAGATAAGGAAGAGGAAAGTTAAAAAAAAAATAGAAGCCGGGCTCGGTGGCTCAGCCTGTAATCCCGCGCCTTTGGGAGGCTGAGGTGAGTGGATTGCCGGAGCCCGCGGGTTCGAGACCCGCCTGGGCAGCGAAACCTCATCTCTACAATATATCAAAAAAATCAGCCGGGCGTGGTAGCGCATGCCTATAATTCCTGCTACTTGGAAGGCTGAGGCGGAAGGATCGCTGGAGCCCAGCAGGTCGAGGCTGCGGTGGCCGGGAGCGGCCACTGCACTCCAGTCTGGGCGACCTGAGGCTCCAACTCAAAAAAAAAAAAAAAAAAATAGAGGAAAGAAATATAGTTTACTAAATGCCTGTCTTGTGCTTTGTACTGTTAGTGGCAAAAATAAAACAGTGAGCAAAACAGATGCCACCCCTACCCTCACGGAGCTTCCAGTCTAGTGGAGGAGGCAGACATAAATACTCACCTTAAGAGTGGCATTTTTTTTTTCTCGAGTCAGAGTCTCATTCTGTAGCCCAGGCTGGAGTGCAGTGGCATACTCATGGACACTGCAGCCTCGACCTTCTGGGCTCAGGTGATCCTTCTGCCTCAGCCTTCCAAGTAACTGGAACTACAGACGTCTGCCACCACGCCCTGCTAATTTTTTAAATTTTTATTGCAGAGATGAGGTCTCGCCAAGTTGCATAGGTTGGTCTCAAGCCCGTGGGCTCAGGCAATCCTCTCGCTTCAGCCTCCCAAAGTGCTGGGATTACAGGTGTGAGCCACCGTGCCTGGCTAATTTTTTTGATTTATTGTAGAGATGAGGTCTTGCCATGTTGCTCAGGCTGGTCTTATCCCCTGAGCTCAGGCAATCCTCTCACCTCAGCCCTCCAAAGTGCTGGGATTGCAGGCAGGAACCACTGTGTCCAGCTGGCTTTCTTTTTTTTTTGATTGGAGGTCTTACTCTGTGATTATAGGCATGAGCCCCTGCACACAGCACACAAGTGTTTATTACAATCTGCAGTAGGTATTGTGAAGGCAAAGTGCAGGGTAATAGGGGAGTTTATGATGGGGATGTGGAGGATGATCTAACTTAGAGAGTGGAGGAGGCTATTCTCAGGGAAAGAGCATCTGAACTTGGATTTGAAGGGTAAGTAGAAGTTAACCAGATGGTGATGGTGAGGCATGGGCTAAGAGCATACCAGGCAAAGGGAACACATGTGCAAAGGGCAGGAGAGAACAAAAAGGAAATGAAAGTCACCGGGATGGCTGGAATGCAGGGGTTGGGCATGAGAAGGAGTGGGAAGGAGAGGTAGGTAGGTACAAGTCCTGCAGGACCTTGAGGGCAGACTAAGAATTCGAAACTTTATAGAAATTAATTGAAAGATTTTAAACAAAGCTTCATGATAATTCTTCCACCTTGAAACAGATCTCTGGTTACAATATGAACAATAGGCCAATTAACAACCCTGTACTAATCCAGGGTAAAAAATGACAGTGGCTCATGCTGTAATCCCAGCGATCTGGGAGGCTGAGGCAAGAGGACTACTTGAGCCCAGGAGTTTGAGATCAGCCTAGGCAACATAGTAAGACCTTGTGTCTACAAAATAAAAAAATTAAGGCCAGGCGTGGTGGCTCACACCTATAATCCCAGCATTTTAGGAGGCCAAGGTGAGAGGAGTGCCTGAGCCCACAGGTTCGAGACCAGCCTGGGCAACTTGGTGAGAACTCATCTCTACAATAAATAAAAAAAATTCCCCGGGCCTGGTGGCGCATGGCTGTAGTTTCAGCTACTTGGAAGGCTAAGGCAGAAGGATTGCCTGAGCCCAGTAGGTTGAAGTTGCGGTGGCTGTGAGAGAGACTGAGCAGACTTCAACTAAAAAAATAAAATATTAGTTGGGTGTAGTGGCACGTGCCTGTAGTCCCAGATACTTGGGAGGCTGAGGTGGGAGGATCGCCTGGGTTGAGGCAGCAGTGGCCGTGAGTGTGCCATTGCACTCCAGCCTGGGTGACAGAGTGAGGCTCTGACTAAAAAATAAATAAAACAAAGAGGACACTGGCTGGGATTTGGTGACAGCGGAGACGAACAACACCAGAGAGATATGAATAAATATGGTGGATTTGTGGAGAGTGAAGCAGTCACCAACTCCATGACTGAAGCTCTATTGCTTAACCCCTTCATTCATTTAATAAATGCTTGATGCCCGGCTTTAATTCCCAGCCCAAGTCCCAAACCTTTCTGAACCCAGGGATCCTCATCCCTAAAACGATGAAAAGTGTCATTGGGGGCACTACAAGATACAGGCTGGGCTCGGGTGGAGGGCTGAGAGAGGGTCCTCGCGTTTCTCTCCCTCGGAGCATATTCTTTAGAGGACAAACACCTGTGCCTGGCCTTTTTCACGGCAGCCCTTTCCTAGGTCTCCCACGGCCTCTCGTGTCACCTGTCACCCCTGGTTCCCTGCCCAGGGACCAGTTTAGACTTTGCAAAGTTGCCCTCCAGAGAAGTGAAGAGGTTAAATCTCCTGTCCCACTTTTGGGAGTTTGCTTTAGAAACACAAAGTTGGGAGGTATCAGATTGATAGTCAGTTGGGAAGGACTCCGGTCCGCCTCTGGTTCCCTAGTGCCTCTGTGCAGCGGGGGCTCCGAACGCCCAGCAGACGGAAGACGTGGACGGAAGCAGAACGAAATGCCCAGCCGCCGTTCTGTCGTGGGCTGGGCGGGAGGGCGGGGCGGACCTCTGTGACATCACATGGACACGCCCCTATGGGAGGATGCCGCGCCTGCGCCAGAACTGCCGTCTCGCTCCCGGAAGTGGAGGGTCTACACGGAGCGCCGCTGGGTCTGGGTGCCCGAAGGCAGCAGCGCTCGCGGAGTTCGCCCGCCGGCTCTCGACCGCCATGTCGGCCTTCGACACCAACCCCTTCGCGGACCCAGTGGACGTAAACCCCTTCCAGGTAGGTTCCCCAACTCATAGATTTCTCTCGAGCCAAGGGCCGCCGCCCTGGCCTCTTCGCCAGAGCCGGGAGACGTGGCGTAGGAGGGATGGGTCGTCTGCCCAATGGGAGAGCGGGCTTTGAGGCTTGGCCTATCGTAGCGTCTGGGGGTGGGACTAGCAACAGGTGGAACTGCAGAGGGGCGGGGCGCGGTAACCTGGGAAGGAATAGGATTGTCTAGTACCCGGGATCGTAGCCCCACTGCCTGGGGACTGCTGGGGAAGGGGACTGGAACAGGCACTGTCGGATCCTTGGAGAGATCCCCTAGCTTCAGGGAGAGAAGCCAAATGTGACCATCACATTCCCGCAGTCTTAGGACACCTGTCTTGAGATACCTTAGGAGAGGGGGTGGTAGAAGCCTCTGGTGGGACAGATAAATGTAGGAAAAGCCCAACACACCTCACCACCACTAGCAGCAGCCAAACTAGCTTATGAAGTATAGGAGAGTACCAGAGATTTGTCAGGAAAAGAAGACTGGGGGAGGGCGAGAAGATAGCCCAAGTTGCAAATGGCCTAGATAAGAATTCCGCTCTTTGACTGTGGGCCTGGTTCGGAATGGGTTTTGGCCAGATAGGAGAGCCCCAGTTAGGGAGAGAGGAGAGGCCGGGCCGCAGTGACTCACGACTGTAATCCCAGCATTTTGGGAAGCGGAAGCAAGAGGGTTGCCTGAGTCTAGGGGTTTGAGACCAGCCTGGGCAACTTGGTGAGACCTCGTCTCTACAGTGAATCCAAATATTAGTCAGGCGTGGTGTTCCACACCTGTGGTTCCAGCTATCGGAAGGCTGAGGCGAATGGATCACCTGAACCTAGTAGGTCAATACAGCAGTGGCCGCGACCATGCCACTGCACTCCAGCCTAGGTGACAAAGTGAGACACCGACTCCAAAAAGAAAGATTGCGAAACAAAAAAAATAATAGAAAAGGGGCAGAAGGACAGATGAGAGGACTCAGGAAGAGTCTGGAAGCACAGGGAACGCTGGTCTGATGGATCTGTGTCGGGGGGAAGCATAATTGAGAGATGCCCTGACCTATGAGCTGGCCTGGCCTTTTGAACAAACAGTCGAGGAAGGAACTGTCTTCTGCTTAAAGCCAAAACCTATCTGCCTTCACACTGAGAGCACAGGGGTGTGCTTTTTCTGCAGGGATGGGCTGGTGCTCCTGTTGGTTCCAGAGCCCCTGTGCCTCCTGTTTCATGTCTGCTCCAAACCCGTTCTAGGGAAGCTTCTTTGTGCTGACTCGTGATTTATGAGCCCTGATGTTCTGCTCTGTCAGGATGTCACCAGGCACATTAACTCGTCCTGCTTGCCCTTTATTTTGGTCATTGGCGACTTTAAAGTTTCCTGCAGACGTCAGGGAAGTCCTTGGAGGGGTCCTTCCTGCAATTCACAGCACAAACTTTTCCACCTGAATCTCTTCAAGGGTCAAAGCAAAATCAAAGGAGACTTGAACTAAATAATTTACGCCGTTAGGAGAGTAAAAACGTTGTTTCTTTCCCAGTCAAGGTGTCTTAGCCAAAGGGAGTCCTCAAGGCAAATTCTGGTAGCTTGTTCTTGTAGCATCAGGGAATTCTGAACATTCCTTTTGTAGCTTAATACTCCTTGACAGAGCCTTTGCAAAGGATCTTGCCTCTTATGTAAGGCAGACAGTCACCCCTGTTAGTTAAATAAAGAAAGAACATTTGCATTTTTCCCCTGCCAATGTCTTCTAGTAACTGTTGTACTTTAAGTACAAAGTTGCTGTATAATCCTGGGGTTTGGGTTTTAGTAAGGATCTAGTAGTCTTCTGGTGTGTGGTGTGTGATAATTGTCTTTTTTTTTGTCCTGTCAGAATCAGAAATAAACTATCTGCTGCTTTCTGACAGTCAGAGGCAGTCAGCCATCCAAAGATGCAGAGAGCTTTTCTCCAGTGCTAGCAAGGGGTGAGATAGTTCTACCTTGTATCAATAGCTGCTCAAAAGAGATATTTCTAGCCGGGCTCGGTGGCTCAGCCTGTAATCCCGCGCCTTTGGGAGGCTGAGGTGAGTAGATTGCCTGAGCCTGCGGGTTCGACCCGCCTGGGCAACTTGGTGAGACCTCATCTCTACAATAAAATCAAAACAAGCTGGGTGTGGTAGCGCACACCTGTAGTTCCAGCTACTTGGAAGGCTGAGGCGGAAGGATCGCCAGAGCCCAGCAGGTCGAGGCTGCGATGGCCGGGAGCGGCCACTGCACTCCAGTCTGGGTGACAGAGTGAGACTCCAACTCAAAAACAAACAAAAAAAGAGATAGTTCTACCCTGTTTCAATAGCTGCTCAAAAGTCTTAAACCCCATCTCCTGCCCCAGAAATGATGGTGCAAACTGTGGTAAAGAAACTTCTGCATTCTAGCAAGACAGTCTGCCCATCAGGCAGCCCCAGGATATGGCAGGACAGGAAGCAGCTGTGGTCTTGTCAGCCAGCCACATCTGGTGGGGAGTCCTGTGGACAGAACAGGGCTGGCTGGCTGCGATTTTGCCCTTCTTCGTGCTGGACTGGGTTTTTCCTCTTGGCACAGTCGTGTGGGGAGAAGCTGCTTTGGATGTGAGGCCCTTGAGCTCCTTCTCCTGGTCACAGCTGTCCTCCCTTTCCTTAAGATGGTGGCGTCTGCTTCCTTGACTGCAGGGCTGGGACATTGGGAGGGTGCTGTCCTTGGGGGACTGGGTGTGAGCCCAACTTCATTTGCTCAGGGTGTTGGCATCAAGCTCAGGAAAGAGCAGGTGGAGAGGCGATAGACTCAGAAACTCACACCTCGTCAGATTCCAGAGCAGTCGTTTTGCTTCTTCTGCCACCCCACGTAATGGTGGATTACAAAAATATCCTTAGCATTCACAGTCCTTGTTGGACTGTTAGAGCTGGGAACATTCTCAGAACTCTATTAAACATTTTCAGCTTAGAGATGAGGAAACCAAGACCCCAGTGAGGATGGCACATGCCAGGGTCACCAGCTAATTAGCTGTAGGAAGAGGCAGGCCTGGGTCTTAAAAGTTTCTGAAGCTCAGACCTTGGGGTTAAACTTCCTTGGAGCTATTTTAGGCTGAGTAAGGAAAGAATGTAACATCATCACGTTGTCACCATTCTTGAAATGAGAGTACTAGTAGTGGTGAAAGTAACAAATTAGTATTAGCTAAGCTACTTTTTTTTCCAGTGTGAGGGGATGGAATAATACAGATGTTCTTGGGCTTTTTTTTTTTTTAATGTCTCTGTCACCCAGGCTGGAGTGCAGTGGCACACTCTTGGCCACTGCACCCTCGACCTGCTGGGCTCAGGTGATCCTTCCACCTCAGCCTTCCAGGTAGCTGGATCTACAGGCATGCACCACCACACCTAGCTAATTTTTCTTGATTTCTTGCAGAGACAAGGTCTCACCAATGTTGCCCAAGCTGGTCTTGAACCCCTGGGCTCAGGCAGTTCTCTCATCTCGGCCTCCCAAAGTGCTGGGATTATAGGCGTGAGCCACTGCACCTGGCCATTCTTGGGCTTTTTGAGGCTGTACTTTATATTTATATTTATTTGTAAAAAATAGGGATGGATTCTCACTGTGTTGCCCGCACTGTTCTTTAACTCCTGGGTTCAAGCAGTCCTCCTGACTTAGCCTCCCAAAGTGCTGGGATTACAGGTGAGAACCACTGTACCCGGCCCCATTTTTCTTTTTCTTTTCTTTTTTTGAGTTGGAGTGTCACTCTGTCACCCAGACTGGAGTGCAGTGGCCGCTCCCGGCCACTGTGACCTTGACCTGCTGGGCTCCGGTGATCCTTCCGCTTCAGCCTTCCAAGTAGCTGGAACTACAGGCACGCACTACTATGCCCAGCTGATTTTTGATTTATTGTAGAGATGAGGTCTCCCCAAGTTGCCCAGGCAGGTCTCGACCCCACGGGCTCAGGCAATCCACTCACCTCGGCCTCCCAAAGTGCTGGGATTATAGGCTGAGCCACCGAGCCCGGCCTCTTTTTTTTAAGAGACAGGGCCAGTCGGGCTCGGTGGCTTAGCCTGTAATCCCACGCTTTGAGAGGCTGAGGTGAGTGATTGCCTGAGCCTGCGGGTTCGAGACCCATCTGGGCAACTTGGCGAGACTTCATCTCTACAAGAAATAAAAAATTAGCTGGGCGTGGTAGCGTGTGTCTGTAGTTCCAGCTACTTGGAAGGCTGAGCGGAAGGATCGCCGGAGCCCAGCAGGTCGAGGCTGCAGTGGCCGGAAGCGTGCCACTGCATTCTAGTCTGGGTGATGAAGTGAGACTCCAACTAAAAAAATAAAATAAAATAAAGACAAGGCCTCACTATGTTGTCCAGGCTGGTGAATTCCTCAAGGAATCCTCCTGCCTCAGTGCTGGGATTACAGACGTGAGCCACCACGCCTGGCCCCCATTTTTCTTTTTTTTTTCTTTTCTTTTCTTTGAGTCAGAGTCTCACTCTGTCGCCCAGGCTGGAGTGCAGTGGCATGCTCACAGCCACCACAGCCTCAACTTGCTGGGCTCAGGCAATCCTTCCGCCTTAGCCTTCCAAGTAGCTGGGACTACAGGCGTGCACCACCATGCCTGGCTAATTTTTTTATTTATTATAGAGATAAGGTCTAGCCAAGTTGCCCAAGCTGGTCTCCAGTCCCTGAACTCAGACAATCCTCTTCCCTCTGCCTCCCAAAGTGCTGAGATTATAGGCATAAGCCACCAAGCCTGACCACCCCACGTAAAGATTTACAAAGTTTGTTAATTTGTTAAAAACTCTGAGAAATGCTACCAAAAAAGCATTTGCTCAGCTTTATCTGACCCAGCATTTCTCAAAATTATTCAACCATGGAACCCTTTTTCTACGTACTCTTGTTAAATCCTGTGAAATTCCCAGTGTGCCTTTAAGTTGACTTCCTCATCCACGTTTTTTTATCAAGCTCCTACCCATACCCTCCCCACCCCCCTCTATGATATGACTTTTATGGCCTTTTCCTTGCAAGTGGT